ACTCCAGCTCATGGCCACCCCGTGTCCAACAGGGTGACCTGAGGCCTGTCTTCAGGACCGTTGGCATGCTTGAGCTCAGTGCCGTGGCCTCTGTGCATTGTGAGTGACTTGTTAGTGAGGAGGCTCATCTTCCGACCTTGCCCCACTCAGCGTTGTGTTGTCTTCACAGACTAATCTTCAGAAGTAGAGCCTCGGGCTTATTTCCCAGGCTGCCTTAGGCCTAAAGCGCTGCTGAAACCTGCCCACCACAGGTGCCCCTGCTTGTATTTGGAATACCTGTGGCATAGCTTCCAGCGTCATGGCGACATGCAAGCCACAGCAGCACAACAAATGGACAGACAGACAGTGCTGGCCTCCCACATCCTGTCCCCATTTCTGGGGAAGTGCAGTGGGCCGCGCCAGGCTGACGGCTGCCCTTTTCCAGAAAGAGCTTGGCATTTTCTCAGTCTGCACCAGAAAACAGCTAGCCCCATGACCCTGAAATTCCCTCAGAAATCCCGTAGTCAATTGCTTCTAACGCCAACCTATTTAACAAGATTGTGAATATGTGGAGTTCAGGCTGGAAAGGGTGCTGTGGTCCTGCTGTTGCCCTGCTCAGCCTCTCTGCCAGCCCCCCCACCCCTCCTCTATTTCCTCTCCTGCATACTTGAAACAGGTTAGCCACCTGCATGGTGGGAAGACCCCTCCCCTTAGGTGTGGCTGCCCTCTCCTCACCAACCAGCTTCTGGGCAGTCCTCTGAGCCAGCAGAGCTCAGAGGGAGCTCAGCCACAGCCCCACCCTCGGTCCAGGACTCAGGACTCAGACCTCCCTGGAATCCATTCTGACTTGCAGCAAACAACCCTGTTAGGGCCCCGTGGGTTTCCCAGAGAGATCTGCCTTTCTCCCCTAGAGAGCAGCTACTGGTCTCCAAGCTCGGACCTCTGGGATAGCAGCCAAATAGGGCTCCTCTTTCCTCGGAGAGCAGCATGGTTACACTACACCCCGGCCCACTGGACCTCCCGGCCGCCTCGCCCGTCCCCATGCTTCTGCGTCTCTCCAGCTGCCAGGGAAGCTCATGAACGTGGTTACTGGAAGAGGCCGACCAGGGGCATTCGGGAAGAAAAACGCACAGCGGTTCCAGTCGAGTCCATTCGGACAGCCCGTGTGCCCAGGCTGCTTGCGCCGAGGCCATCGCCAGGCCTTTCTTCCGCGGCGCGTCTGGGTGGGCTCAGAGGTCCGAGGACGGAGGAGGAAGACGCATAGCCCCTGGCATTTCTGCCCAGCCCACGTGGACAGGAGCTCCTGCCATCCTTGCACACCGGAGGACAGGAACCTCGGCCATCGGCTCAATTAGGAGAACCGAGTGGCAGTTCCATATGGCGGTCACGTAAAAGCTGTCGGAAACGCAAGCGCGCTGAAACACTCGGGGCGCCACGGGGACCCCCTGGCGCACGGAGCCGTGCGCCCTGGGAGCTCGGCGTCCCGGCAGGCCCACAGTCTCACTATCTCAGGCGAGGTTGGAAAACTTGCTGCCGGGCCAAGTTTGGACTGCTGGCATCCCTGTCCTGAAATGACACCCGGTTCCAGGAAGAGCTGGCTTCTGGGACCAACTTGCTCAGGCGTCCCAGGCGACAGTCTGGCCAAGCTGCGAGCTTTTCTGGAGCTGGGGGACACCGCCCGTATCTGCTTCTCGGTCCCCCTGGGCCTGATCCTGGCTCACCCATAGCAGGGGACAGCCAGGGCAGCTGGGCAGGGCTGGAGGCGGCAGCCACTGCCCCTGGGATGGCCAGCCTCAAGCGTGCCCAAGCAGGAGACATGGCTGTTTATATTGCACAAGTGACTCCAGCCTCAGCCCCTGAGAAATGTCCCAGGGCAGCCAGAGATTGGAACCGGGCAGGCCCCACACACACACCCCTGTGCCCCTGGGAGTCCCAGGCTGGCCCAGGTCAGGATGGATTTGGAACGCTGGGCAATTCCCTTGCCAAGTCCTAAAACCAGGTGCTGTTCCATTGACACCCACTAACTCACGGTGACCCCATGTGGGTCAGATTGGAACTGCGCTCCAGAGGGTTTCTGATGGACGAGTTTGGGGAAGTAGATTCATTCTGAGTGGCCTCACACCTTCCAGCTTTGAGTTAGCGGTGGAGCACCTGAACCACGTGTATCATCCAGGGTCTTCAGAACCTAAAACCCAAGCAAACAGCCCACTGCCGTCCAGTGGATTGTGACTGTGCGCCCCTACAGATAGGACAGAGCAGAGGGGTCCCCGGCTGTCCAGCTTCAGGGCAGCAATTGCCTCCTTTTTCTCCCATGGAGCCGTTGGTGAGTTTGACCTGCCCACCATTCAGTGGGCAGCTAGCTGCCCAGCACTTAACCGAATGCTCCACCAGGGACTCCTTTCAGGGGCCTTGGCCCACTCACTGTCATCGGGTGATTCCCACGCATAGCAACTGGAGCGCGCAGAGTAGAACTGCCCCCTTGGGTTTCGAAGGCATTCCATCTGTACAGGAGTAGAGAGCTTTGTCTTTCTCCCATGCAGCAGCCAGGGGGTTCAAACTACTAACGTTGTTGTTGCCAGCCCCACACAGAGCCTCCCTGGTCCTTTACACATTCATTCCTCATGCTCATCGAGTCCATTCCGACCTTACACAGGGTTCCCAAAGCTGCCCCTCCTCGTCCTCCTTTGTAGCAGCTGGTGGGTTTGATCCATCGACCTTGCTAACCGCACCACTAGGCTTACTGTTCAGGCTTACTGTCTATGTGAAAAAACGCACTTCCCTGGAGTTCATGCCAATTCATAATGACCCTACAGGACGGCGTCGAACGGCCCCTGGGGATTTCTGAGACTGCAAATCTTTAAGGTGGAATCCAAACTCATGGCCATTGAGTTCAACCTGAAAGGGCAGCATCTCTGAGATGGTGACTCTTTCTGGCAGTACAGATAGCAGGCCTCGGTCTGCTCTCTCAGAGCAGCTGTGGTTTCCAACTGCTGGCCTTGAGGTTGGCAACCTAACCAGCAACCCACTGTGCCACCGGGGCTCCATAGGCATTGCTAACGAACAGCTCACGTGCATCCTGGTTGTCACGTGCACCATCATTTTGGAGGGTGGGGGACCCCATTCAGGGAGCGTGTCATGCTTTCAGTATATCTTCCCTGGGATTGGCTCTTGCTTGACTGGAGACTCATGGGAAAATGTTGGCATGAAGCTCCTGAGCAAGAACTGCCTTTTTTTTTTTTTTTGGTAAGCGGAGCAAAGATCTCATCAGCACGGTTCACTTTGGTCGCAAAGCGAGGTCCCCTCTCTATTTTCACATGGACTGTCTTTCTGTCCAAGTGGAGTCACCCAGGGCACCCCTCGGGCATCCTCAGGCTGGGTGGGGCAGGGCCCCCTTTCTCCATTCTCCACTCGGCAAGTGCTGCAGTGCCTCCCACCTGGTCCAGCCTCGAGGAGGCTGATTGAATATGATTGAGGGGGAGTGTTAGAGTGGCCCCTAATACGCAGCATAAAATACAACACTCTCTTAAAGCTTGTGCAGAGATGGACAGGTGCATCCATGAGACAGAATAGATAGCCCAGGGGCATCCTACTCCAGGCAACAAAAAGACCACGGGAGAGTATCCCCCTGGATACCCTAAGAAATGAGACATCAATGCAGAAGATGAGCAGGCGTGAAACAGTGGCCTGTTGGTCTCTGAGTCTGGTGGCCAAGGGCAGCTGGGACGTCCAAGTCCTCTGGAGTGATAATAAAGAATTAAATGGCCCGCTTGAGGTGCAGGACTAGCATCAGGTTCGCCAAACCATCTCAGGGTTTAGATAAGCCTTTAGGTGGCAGAAGGGATTTATACCCTGGTGGTGTATTGGTGACATGTTGGGCTTCTAACCACAAGGTCAGCAGTTCGAAACCACCAGCCACTTTGTGGGAGAAAGACTTTCTACTCCTGTAAAGAGTCCGTCTTGAGAGCCCACAGAGGCAATGCCACCCTGTTCTGTAGACTCACGATGAGCCAGCATCCACTCGATGGCAGGGAGTTTCGCGTTTGGGTTGACTAACCTGAAGGCTGGTCATTTGAGCCCCTGCAGTAGTGGCACAGAAGAAAAGTCTGGCGATCTGTTTCTGTAAAGACGACAGTCACGGGCACTTGACTGAACAGCTCTGCTCTATTAACAAACACTCACCTTGAGGCTCAGTCAACTGGATGCGCGTTTCTCTCCTTGTCCTTTCTTTTGATCTCTATAAGAAGGAAAACCATTTCACTCTCGACAAGAAAGAAAACAGAAACATGCTGCTACTGGCTAGGCCTGGGCCTGTGGCCTACGGAGGCCCAACCGGCACTGCACCTGGACTTCACCACGCCTCCCCTGGCAGCAGCAAAGCCTGAGTCACACCCAGGGTCATCCCAGGGCAGCACCACCCCACCCCACCCCCACCCCCGCCGCTGCCATAGAGGAGCTAGCTCTGGGCGGCAGCACACCCATGCTGCCAGTGCTCGGAGAGAGAGAGAGAATGCCAACAATAAAGAATGCCAGGAAGCTAGAATTCCCAAATTCACAACCACTAGTCTGGAGAAAGACAGCGCACATCAACACTCTGGAAATGGATGCATTCCAGAAAAGGCACCGGAAAGATGCTAGCTGTATTTATACACACGAGGGAGGGCTTCAAAAAGTTGGTGGGGGAGATGGAATGACAAGATAATGGGATTTTTCGTTGAACTTTTCGAAGCCCCTTTGTCTATGGAAGGACTCTTGGGGGCCTAGTGAGTACCAGCTGGGCAGTTACCCGTCAGCAGCGCAGAACCTCAGGAGAAGGACGGGCTTGCTGCTCCCGTAAAGAGTCCCCCTCGCAGAGACCCACGGTGGCCGTTCTGCCCTGTCCTGCAGGGTCACTGCGAGTTGGAATTGACTCGATGGCCCTGCGTTTGGGTTTTGTTTTTGGCTTACATATGCAAAACCCTCACTTTATCTAATACACTGCCTCACCCCGTCCACAAATCCCACTACATGCATATATTTTTAAATAAAATATAGAATGCTTCACAGATTCATATGTCATCCTTGCACAGAGTCCAGGCTGGCCGTCTCTGTACAGTTCCAATTTCAGTATATGTGCTACCGCAGCGAGCACAAAATCCAAGTATTTTTGATCTCTGAATTTCAGAGAAAAAGTTCTCAGCTGGTCAAAAGGAGAATATTACTTCCCCTCCCCCCACCCAAAAAAGAAAGGAGTGTTTGCTTGATTTAACCACTAAACAACTTTTGTGTTTTATGTCTCATATTTAATTTTTTAAAAGAATGAAAGAGAAGTAAATACATTAGGGAACTATCTGGAGTTTGTAGCTGAGGACACCAGATTTTCCCAGGATGACTTTGGACCAGTTACTTGACCTTCCAGGCCCCGTCTCCTCCATAAAATGTGACTAAAATTCGCACCTGCCTCCTGGTTCAGACGCTCTAAGGAGCTCCTTGTGGTGGTGTTTTTGCTTCTGTGTCCTATTGGGGTTAATCTCAGATGTATTTTGTCATTGGGGTAACCTTCTTGAATGTTTGTTATGTGTTTTTCTGGTTTTCGGTAGATGAAACCCAGGACTGATGAACTTATAGAAACAGCAAGTAGAATCAGGATTCCTGGGGCGGGGGGTGTTAAGGAGGGGGGTGGTTAAAGGAAAGCTGATGGCAAGGAGTTCAGGGAGGAAGAGAATGTTCTGAAACGGATTGTGGTTGCGATTGTACAAAACTGCTTGATGTGATCGAACTATGGAGTGATACGATATCTGTATTAGCTCTCAATAAAATGGGGTTTTTTTGGGGGGAAACCCAAGGCAGCATGGACTCTCTGTGAGTCATAATCAATTTAGTGGCAGTAAAACCCATTGGCTCATAGAAAATATTCCGTGGGTATTTCTCTTTTACTTGTACTTGGTGTGAACTCCAGGTGCAGACAAGCCACGGCAGATAAGCCATTGCTCACCAACAATTCCCAGGAAAGCATTCGGCTCTACCCATAATGAACTCACATTACATGTTCTTTTCGACGTTTCAAGTGGGCAACAATGGTGAAAACAAGAAGAGTACTGTTTTCCCAGCCATGGGATCTTAAAAATCCCCTGAAAGAAAACACCCCGGTTAAAAATTTTAGAAATTTCGGGGAAATTAGGAGAGAGAAAAAACCCCACCACTCAACTGCCATCGAGCTAACTGCAACTGACAGCCACCCTGTGGGGACCATAGAGCCGCCCCTGTGGGTTCCTGAGACTGTAACCCATCGCTACAAGAATAGAAAGCCTCCCCTTACCCCCTCGGGGAAGCTGGGGGTCTCAAACTGCTTGTGGTTTGCAGCCGCCGCTTAACTCATTGATGCCTCCACGGCTTGATGGGAAGTTAGGTGTGATCACAGTCTTTTTTTTTTTTTTTTTTAACATTTTATTAGGGGCTCATACGACTGTTATCCCAATCCATACACACATCAATTGTGTAAAGCGCATTTGTACATCG